CTAGGAGAGTTAGCCGGTGGTGCAGGTCGAGGGAAGTAGAGAGAGGTGAGGGCGGGGCCAGGACCAGAAGCGGTGCTCCTGGAGCCCAAGAAAGGGACTGAGTTGCTCTGGGTGAGAAGGATCAGGAAGCAGTATTGGTTCCCCAGGTGTCTGGGGCCCCAAGACTAGGAATGGCGCAGGGCCCAAACTAGGAGTATAGAACGGCAGGAGGGATTGAAGGGTGAATGTGGGTTCGGGAGTCCCGGCGCGGAGAGCTGTGCTATAGACTTACCCCAAGAGGCCTGAGGATAGTAGTGCAGGCTAGGAGAGTTAACCGGTGGTGCAGGCCCAGGGAAGCAGAGAGAGGTGAGGGCGGGGCCAGGACCAGAAGCGGTGCTCCTGGAGCCCAAGAAAGGGACTGAGTTGGTCTGGGTGAGAAGGATCAGGAGGAAGCAATATTGGTTCCCCAGGTGTCTGGGGCCCCAAGGCTAGGAATGGCGCAGGGCCCAAACTAGGAGTACAGAACGGCGGGAGGGATGGAAGCGTGAATGTGGCTTAAGGAGTCCCGGCATGGAGAGCTGCGCTATAGACTTACCCCAAGAGGCCCGAGGATAGTAGTCTAGAGTGAGAAATTTTAAAAGTATAAGGCATACAGTTAAAAATTAAGTTTTCCTATCAACGGTGCTACACATAGGCATTCACCCTCCCCACCCCTGGCTGGTAGTACAATAGTAAAACAGTTAGGCACCTTGACTATTATCATTTAACAAGATGTTTTTGGATAGTTTTTAACATAAACAAAATTATTTTTTCTGAATAAAAAGGTACCATTTGGAAAAGCAATATTAAACTGAAAATACCTCAGTCAGTGCTGGCTTAGCAAGTTTATAAAACATAATTTAATAAAATCAATTTTACAATCAGACAGCAGGGCACAGTTGTGTGTATTTTAATTCCAGATACTCTTAAAGCCGATACAAGAGGATTGCTTGAACCTGGGAGTTCGAGGCCAGCCTATACAACGTAGCAAGACCCCATTTCAGAAAAATAAATAAAAATTTTAAAAGAAAGTAAATTTAGGTTAAGATTTTACATGTTGGGGCTAGAGAGATGGCTTATTAATTAAGAGCACTGGCTGCTCTTGCAGAAGACCCACATGGAGGATAAAACCACCCAGCATGATGCGCTTCCATACATACAGGCAAAACATTCATACACATGAAATAAAAATAAGTAAATGCAAAAAAATTTAAAATGCTTTACATGTTTTTAAAAATCACTCAGGAAGCAAAGCAGTTTCATTTGCATCAATGTGGTAGACTTGATGTCTAGGAAAAATCTACAGTTTCTTAGCAAGTCCATCTCAGCAGTCAGAAAAATAAGGGAACGTGCTGATGGCAGTACTGGCTAGAGAATACCCATGCAGCAGTGAGCATTGGTTAGAGGCAGCATTGGCTCTGGACCCTGTAGATACCCAAAGCCACAGACTGTCGGACAACCTGGCTTGTCTTAGGTAGAAGGGTGAATCAAGAACTCATAGGGAGGTACAACTTCCCAAGGATGATACTATGCATGAGTCAACTAGAAAAGCCCAACCTTGAGAGACCCCTGGTGGGGATGCCCTGCTGCTTTACCATTAGCCTTGAATGGCATGGGGGAATTTTTCCCTTTGAGAATGAAATCCCAAGTGCATCTTCATGTGAATTTGGTGCTGGAAATCCACTCGCTGTCTGGGTAGAAGCAGATCACATGAACTTCAGTGTAATGTGTACCCTATTCTAGGCCCTCTGTGATCAATAGCAATGTATAAAAATCCACTGATGGGGACAGACTTTAACCTCAGCTCCAGGGATTTCCACAGATGTCCAAGTAACCAGAGCTTCTAATAAAAAAAAAAAAGGTCACAAGAAACTGAAATCAATAAGGCACAAAGACCTGGAGGTGACAGCAGAACTACAAGCTCTGATGGAGCTCCACAAAACCATTTAATATGAAAAGGATGACGTGACAACTGCTCTGCAAATTAAAAAATTAAAAGGCCTTGGAATGTAGCTTAGTGCCAGAATGCCTGCCTAACAGACATGAGGCCATAAATTCAATACACAGCACCATTAATTAATTAATTAATTAATTAAGAAGTAGGAAACAAATAAGAAAGAAAAGAGAATCAAAAGCATGATTTAGAAACAACAACAACAAAAATGACCTAGAAACTTTGAGAAAGAAAGGAGGAGAATTTCTATCATGGTCATGGTGGCTCATGCCTGAAATCCCAGCACTTGGGAGGCTGAGGCACAAAAATCCCAGCAAGTTTGAGGCTGTGTTGTACCCAAGATGTAGGCTGGACTGGGCTACATAAAGAGTTCAAGACTAGACTAGGATACAGAGCTAGACTCCATGTCATATATATATATATATATATACAGAAATATAAATATATAAATATTACATTGTGTATTGCAAGAAACAGAATGGTGTGAGGGTCTAACACTCATTTAACTGATGTTCCAGAGATGGGATAAAGACAATTAAGAGATAACAGGAATGTTGTACATACATATGAAAAAATGTTGGACCTCATTAGTACTCAGTGAAATGCAAATTATAACCATCATGGGATACTATTTCACACCCACTAAATTGGAAAAATTGCATGTCTGATAGTACTATTTAAGCAAAAATGGGGAAAGATGGGAGCTCTCATAAACAGCAGACAGATATATGAGGCAGTAAAACCACTCCATCTCCTAAAAATATTCCAGTGAGAATAGGGACCATAATGTGGAGTGGATCAGCCAAGTTAAGTTCATTCATTCATTCATTCATTCATTCATTCAACAAATATTTGTTAGTGCTGGGATTACAGGCATGAGCTCCCATACCCAGCTAATCATTAGACGTGCATACATACATTCATGCACACATATATATTATTGATGTTTTGTTTGTTCATGTGAGGGTGGGCATCTATGCGTGTGTGTGTGTGTGTGTGTGTGTGTGTGTGTGTGTGCATGTGGATGCCAGAGGTCAATGTCAGATGTTTTCTCAATCACTCTCCACCTTATTTTTTGAGACAGGGTCTCTCACTGAACCTGGAACTCATTGATTCCTGGCTCAGCTAGACTAGCAGGACAGCAAAACTCAGGGATCCTCCTGTCTTTTCCTCCTTAGTCCAAGGATTGCAGGTGAATGTCACAGAAGCAGGATTATGTGTGTTCTAGAAGATCCAACTCAAATCTTCACTTGTGCAGCAAGTACTTTACTGATGAAACCATCTCCTCAGTCCTAATTATTATTTATTTTGATAGAAATTCTCCTTGTTTCTTTTTCAAATTTTCTAGATCATCTTTTTGTTCCTGAGTCACACTCAATACTTTTATTTCTTCTTTATTTATGGTGCTGTGGATTGACTAGAAGGACAGGTGTCTGTGAGGCAGACATTCTAGTACTAACAACATCAGTTAGGACTTAAAATTTAAAAGCTCATAGACCTGTCTAAAAGAGCTTAGGATCTAGTGGGTCAGATAATGATCACACAAATGAGCCTGGAACTAAAGCTGTGACACAGGGTGAGAATGAGAGCTCCTGTTTTGGTTAGCTTTCACATTGTTGTGACAAAATATCCAAAAAGACAACTTAAGGAAGGAAAAGTTGATTTGGGGAAATGCGGTCAAAGTCTGACATTCAGTCCATCATGGTGAGAAGTCTTGGCAACAGGAGTATGAGGTAGCTGATTACATTGCATTCACAGACAAAAAGCAGAGAGAGAGAGAGAGAGACAGAGAGAGAGACAGAGAGAGAGACAGAGAGAGAGAGAGAATAAATAAATAAATAAATAATTCTAAATCTAAAAATCCCCTTAGAAATGGAGTTAAGCATGTCTGTAGCCCCTATCTTTGGTCACATAGTAAGAACTGATTTTAGAACCACCCACTTCCTGTTACCACCTAGGTGTAAACATAAGTTCACACTGCCTGCCTAGCTCTGCTACAACAATTCAACCAGGATGTTCCCCTGGTGTGTAAGTTCTCCGCCAACTCCCCACAGCAGCATACGAGATGTTAGTCCAGCTGTGATTTACTGAGTGAGGCCAGAAGTATAATTGAATACATTTTACTGCTTTGTAGCCAGAGCAGATTATTTCTTCATTTTTGAGAGAAAATACAAAAAACCTGTCAGTAAATGACACATATCTTGTTCAAAAGAAGGAGGGCATGGAGAAGTAGAGTGGACTGTGTCTTTTCTGCTTTGACTGTGCTTGTCACAAGAATGCTTGCATAGGAGACCATATCTCCATGCTGCAGTGTGTGAGGCTCTACATGCTTGGTGTCAGTGGCCCCTTGGACCTCATATTCCTTTATTTTGAGGACTTTATTGATACCCAACTGAAATGCGATTGATGGTCTGTATTTAAAGAATTCCACTGGGAAAGTGTGGGCATAGTTATATACCTGTAAACCCATTACTACCATCAAAACAATGACATACTCATCAGCTTCTAAATTTCTACCCTTCCCTGCCTTGCCTTGCCTTCTCCCATCCCAAACAGCTCCAGTTTAAAAGGAACCATTACTTTAATCAAACTCTGGTGGATTTATTAGATGGGTGGGGAAACAATCTCTAAAAGTCCCCTTCTGATCTGTTATCTCAACCCAAGCACTGTAAATATCTGCTTTTCAAATGAAAGCCACGTTATAGAACCTGGTCACATCCTCGGTTTTAAGGGGTTGAGAGTAATGTCATTTTTCTGAAAGTCCTAGAGTTGTGGTTGCTGCTGGGAAGGGAAAACCAGGCCAGGTCCTGGGGCTGACTCCACTGTTGATGCTGTTTTATACCTCACAGATCCTATTTGTCACGAAGAGGAAGGAACTGCTACCACCGCAGGCACATCTGTTCAGAGCATTGAACTTGTCCTCCCACCCCATGCAAACCATCATGGAAACACATTTGGAGGCCAGATTATGGCATGGATGGAGACAGTAGCAACGATTTCTGCAAGGTTCTACACGTTGGGCTTTGGCATATGATTTGGGGACCAGTTGGGGGGGGTAGGATCAGTGAAGATCTGAGATCAAGTTATTTAGCTAACCAAGGAAAGACATAAGGAAATACTGCCTTTATTCAAATGAGGAAACAGAAATCATTTCCTTGTTTATATTGCCTGCATGTATGTAAGTGTACCTGGGTCATGCAATGCCTACGGAGGTCAGAAGAAGGCATCAGATCCCCTAAAACTGGAGTTATGGATGGCTGTTAGTTATCATGCGGGTGCTGGGATTTGAACCTGGGCCCTCTGGAAGAGTAGCCAGTGTTCTTAAATACTGACATCTCTCCAGCTTGCCAATTAGTTTTGTAATTATTAAAAACTTATGTTTTAATTTCCCCCGAAGTAAGTGATTTTATTGTTAATATGTCTATAGATATGAGTATAATTAGAAACTTGTGGTTTTCCTTTTATAAATTCTGCAACATAAGCTTGCTTTTACTACAAGATTGTCATCCTCAGTGACAACAAAGCAGTGAATTTGAACACGCCCTGCTATAAAGGCTCATGACACAATGAACTGTGGTGGAACCCATTCTAGTGTTAGTATAGTTTTTAGAGTAACTGAATGGCAACAGGGGGGATCTAAGGGTAGAAAAGTGTGGAAGTAACTTCTGAAACTACATATTGTTTCAAAATTCCATACTCACAAAATTTGTGAAATGTGCATTTTATATTCTCTCAAGTTTTGTGTAGCAATCAAGGTCATTTTTCTGTACAGGAAAAATGTGCCATTTGACCTATAAATTCATCCATTCCATGAACTGTGAAGCTAAGGAATGGATATGAACAGCACTGGCTGGCAGGTGTCTTCATTTGTGGCCCATTCCAATCCACAAATCACAGTTGCCTGGGACATAGTCAGGAACTTTCCAGATGAATATGACCGTCAAATGACAGAAAGAAGCCTTGATTTGGTTTTTGGGGAGACCTCTGTAGGAGACAAGACCAATGTTAAGGAACTGTCTTCATGAAATATCCATTTAGTACCCCAAATATTTGCAGGTCATGTGGGGAGCCACTCTCAATGTACAACCCACTTGAGTCAAGAGAGTTATTTATTTAGAAATCCGTGTAGTGCTTGCCTACTGTATCCATGCAGTGAATAAATACTTTATGAAATCTTTGGAGCATGGTCATTTTCTTCTCTCTTCTTCCCTTTGTTTTCTTAGCCGCCTGTGTCATGGGCATCCTTTTCTAAAGTCTGTGGACATGTTTAAGTTCCGGGGACCATCTACAGTTGGGGACCGTCTTGTTTTCAATGCCACTGTCAACAACACATTTCAAAACAGGTAAAGTGTGCTCAATAAGCCAAGTCAAAGCTGCACATATAAACTTTGTTTTCATTTCAATCGGGAGGTGAATTACATCACAGCTTCCTTCTATTTTATTCAACTTCACTCAATATGCAGACACATACTTCAGTCATCTGTGCTGCTTGGGTCCTCTTCACACTCAGTAAATTGCAATGATTTGGAGTTTTGTTCCATAGGGATGGTAGCTGCCCCAGGATCAGGATGGTTCTAGTTGGTGCCTGCCCTCCTAGCATAATTACTAATTCTTCCTTTCAATATCAAAAGTGTCCTAGTGACCATATGCCAACCAACTCATAAAGGACCTGTTATTTATGCAAATGGATCCAGACTACTTCCCAGTTATTTTAATTCTCAGTACATAATGAAAAGATTTCATATAGACTTTTTTTTTCCTTTTTAAGTGGAAATAGGGGAATATCTCTGTTTTCTGCCAAATTTTAGTATTTGATTCTTTTAAACTATAGAACTATTGTTTTTTTGGAGGAAACTTGATATTTGTACAATTTTACATGTCCACCCTATTACCAAAATGTGTTGATGAATGTATGTATCTGTAAAGCTCCAGTGACCTTTTTCCTACTTGAAAGTGGAAAAGAAATGGAAACGCCCACAAGGACTTCTACAGACCTATCTAATGGCCTCAAAATAGATCTTACTAGTTGTGTAGATTTGCTGACGACAACGAAGATAAACCAGCACCCACATCCTCTTGTTGCTTGGTGGAAGGGGCAGAGGAGAGGCCAACCTACCGAGGTCCTCCTTGCCCACTGCCTTGTGTCACCCTTGCAGTGTGGAAGTTGGAGTGCGAGTGGAGGCCTTTGACTGTCAGGAGTGGGCCCAGGGCCAAGGGCGCCACATCAACAGCGCTTTTCTCATTTACAACGCTGTTGATGATCAGGAGGAGCTCATCACCTTCCCCAGAATTCAACCCATTTCAAAGGTCAGTCATCACATGAGCTTCAGAGACGAGACCCATGGGTACAGGGCTCCACCCGCAGCTCTTCCCACTAGCAACAATTTCTATGGCTTTTGCAATAGGGTTTCTCTCTTCTCCACGTAACAAAGTAAAATAGGCTTTTCTTTTTCTATTTTCCTCCAGAATCACTCTGGTAATTTGTTGGGATGAGGCCCCCGAGTAGATACCTCTACTCAGTCAAATGATGCTGTGGCAGCTCAAGACTTTTCTGTGTCTCCTCTCCTGTCCTTGCATTCAGTTCTTGATGCTGGGCCACATTCATGGGAACTATGCCTTTCTTATCTAGGAACCAATTTACTGCCAACGTTCACCTTCTCTAAAGACTCTATAGTGCAGTTTGTGTACAATTTTGATAGCAGAAATTAAAAATCATCTCTACTTTGAAAAAGAAACAAAAATAACTGTCAAGTTCACCCATCAGCCCAGACTTCATGAAGAGGTGTCACAGAGATGCCTTTCAACTGACCAAGGGAAGGAAGGATACTTAAGGATTTTAAGGATATTTTGTAGCACCAAAATATTTGGAACTGACTGATTGTACTTTTTTTAAAGGATGATTTTAGACGCTATCAGGGAGCTATTGCACGCAAGAGGATTCGCCTGGGCAGGTAAGGAATATAAGGCATAAAGATTTCATGGATTCTTCTCTATCTTAAAGTTACAGAACAAAGAGTCACTGTCTGGGACCCCTGTTCCCACATACTGGAAAAGAAAAAGGCCTGATGTTTCCTAAAAATTAAAAATAGCATGGAAAAGTCTCTTCCAGCAAAGAATAACTTTTAAAAACTGCTGGTTTCAGCTGAAGAGTGTATCATGAGTCAACACTGTGGTATGCTAAACACAAAGAAGAAAATTGTTACTTAATATTTTAATTTTTTTCAGGAAATACGTTATTTCTCACAAAAAAGAAGTTCCATTCAGCACACTTTGGGATATAAGCAAGAAGGTGACAATTTTATGGTTTGAATTCTTCATATAAAATCACAACATCATGAAAACAGAAATATCTTTAACTGATTCAGGTTGTATGTACACAGGTTAAATGACAAAGTGAATCATATTAACTCATCATTTTGAAATTATACCAAATAAGGGCTCAATAACTGGTTGCTCCACTTGTCCAGTTTGACCTGTGAACACTTCCCAAATTCCGACCTCAGAGACCATGCCACTAGCTGGCATGAGACAGCAAGATCTGTTGTCTTGTCATGGTTTGCAATAAATGACATGCCTATGAACTTGAACTTTTAGAGAAGAAGAAAGGATTAGTCATTGAAATATTTTTGAAAATAAAATCTAATGTAGACTCCAGGTTTCCTTGCTACACGTTACTGTCAATCACACTGAAGGCAGTTTGTCTTTGATCAGGATACCAATTAAAATTATACACATTTGGTGAGCATATAGTCACCATGTCTGGAATCTGAGGTAGAACTTATACATTAGCTGTAGATAGTTAAGTTCTAATCTCAACATTATCACTTTGGCTCAACACATTCCCTCCTCCAACACTGCCCACTATCTAAGCAAAAAATACTTGATCCCAAACATAAGCATTGAACTTACAGATTAAAAATTTTGTATTTTAGGGATCCCTAAGTAACAGCAATGTGGAAGCTCTCAGAAGTCTGGCAACCAAAAGTGGTTGGGAGATTAACACCACCTTGGAGAAAGTAAGTGTCTGGGTATTTATGTCACGCCTGCCAATCACCAACAAAAGTTAGCATGGAGGTGTTGCTACAGCTTAAACTGCTGCTGCTTGGTTGAAGGAGCAACAGTTCCTAAGAGCAGATATTTTTCTAGCCCCATGTCTTCCTGCTGGTTGATTTGGAATGCTCTACATTAGCCTGCACACTCCTGCCTTCCTGCCAACATTTGCAAGTCCCACCTCACACCTCTCATTCCCTCCCACATCTTCATTTACTCAAATCTGAGAATCTTAATGAGCCAGGACAAACACTTTTCCATAAATCCACTCTTGGCCTAATGAACTTCTCTTTCTAGCAACTCTTTTCCTCATGACCTCTTTAAAGTTAATATATCTCTGAATTGTGCACAGTCTTGTGATGTTTCTCTTCCACAGTTGATGAGTTGATATTTAAACCCTGGAGTGCAATGTAGCTTTTTAGTGGTCATTTCTCCCTAACTAGATAATAAACCTTTTAAGAAGGAAGCATTGTCTTTATTTCTTTGTATCGCTATTAGCAACTTCTACAAGTTTTGTATATTATCAAATTTAAACATATATAATTTGGCCTTTAATTTTAGGATCTTAGGAGACTTAGAAAACAATGCTCATGCTCACTAGCCTGGGGGCACATTGCTCCCCACTATAGTCCCAGACTGTAGAAGTGCCTGGTACTTGGAAGGTGATCAGAAATATCAACTGTTGAGGCACGATCTGTATGTACTATTCTTCACCATCAGTGAAGCACTCCCCTGTGAAATGGGATGACCATATATCCTGGTCTTCCTGGGGCAGTCCAAGTTTATACCTGTTGTCCCATCATGATTCCAGCTGTAGTGTTCTAGTTTGGATGAGAGGTCATACAGTAACTCCACCAGGAAATCAAGTGAACTCAAGGTCTCTTCCTTGGGCCTTTTCAGTTCTGATGTTGACTTCTCTGAGTGTTTTGCTATCTCCTTGTCTTCCCTACTAAATCCTTCCATGCTTTTCCTTACTCCCTTTGGGTTTAGTTAGGTTTCATTCTCTGCTGGGCTCAGCAATGCAGAAACAGGTTTCATCAAATATTAGTTTCTCTTTATCTCTCAGAGAAGGTTATTCAATGTCTTGCTTCCTTTTTCTGATGTGAAATTTGTCTCTCACCTCATTGATGGTTTCTGAGTGCCCATGAACAGCAGTTGGAAGCAAAGTTATGTCTGGAACAAAGCAAAAAACATAAATGGGGTTGTACAGCACATTAAAACTTCAGTCCTTTGGGGAGTTGTGGCCAGAAACAAACCCCAAATAATGAATGTGCTAGTGCTGGGGGAACATCAGTGACTAGTGCTTAATTTTACATACTTATCAAGGGATGTGGAATTAGAAAGAAAGTCTTTGGTTTTCTCTGTTGAATTTGAATTCTCCCTTTTAAAGTTTGTATTCATGGGGTTGGAGAGATGGCTCAATGGTTAAGAGTGTTGTGCCCAGAGAACGGATCCCCAAGAATTACCACGGAGTCCAAAGAGCATGCAAGAACAAAGAATCTTTATTCGGGCTTAAGCTCGGACTCTTAGACCAAACTAACGTGGTAGGTTCATCTGAGAGCCCCAATTGCAGGGAGAGGGAGCTTTTCATAGGTTTCAGACAAAGGGAGGAGGGGAATGACAGAGTTATATTTTGATTGGTCCAAAGAGCCCATGCCCACCAACATACTTTTGAATTGATTGGTTACAGTCTTGGAGGCCTCTCATTGGTGGGTGCTGCCCTCAGGGCTGTGGAATGTGCTCACTGTTATCTTCAGGGCTAGAGGACCCTGTTTATTCCTTATAAGGCCTGAAAACTTCCTGGGCCCCCTGGACATGCCCAGGCTTGCCTAGTCTATGACCATGAGACATCACAAAAATGGAGGAATCAACAGTCAAAATGGAGACGATGCTGTTTGTCCCGCTGGTTCCCTCAAGCCAAGCGATTTACAGAAGCAAAAAGAGCAGTTAGTCCTAAATAGGAGCAGAGGTCAAGGGGGTCCAGGGGAGGGGGCCAAGGAGGAAGGTTCCACATTTCCCCCTCTCCTTGTAACTTGGAGGCCCCAATCATGGGGCCTCCTGAAGTTCAATGGCATCCCGGCTTAGGGGCTGGTATTGTGATCTCATGACCATTATTTGGATTACCCCTAGTTGGTCCTTCATGAACTGTACTAACCTGTTTAAGATACAGTGTCTGAGGGTTAAGAGTAGGATCAAAATGAGGAGGGGGCCTATCAAGGTGAACACTAAGGTGGTCAGCCAAGGAGATGTGTTGAACCAAGACTTGAACCATCCCTGTTGAGCCTCTCACTCTCTTTTTCTCTTAGCTAATCTTTCTCTTACCTTAGCCATAGTATCTTTGACTACCCCTGAAGGATCGACATGAAAACAGCATTCCTCTCCCAGGGCTACACACAGCCCCCCCTCTTGCAGGAAGATCAGGTCTAATCCCCGTCAATTTTGCAATACCACTTCTGCTAGGGAGGACAGGGATTCTTGTAAATGAGAAATTGTGTTTTCCAGCCTTTCTATATCTACATCTATTGCAGCCCTCAAGCTTGAGTACTGCTGATGTTGGGCAGCTAGTTAGGCTGCTCCTGTCCCAGCCCCAATGAGGCTGACTCCAAGAATCATACTTAGAGTAAGGGTCGTGGCTGTGATTGGCTCCCTGGCAACTCGGGATAGAGTTCTGTTAATCTGTCCCAACAGTTCATCATTAGTATGATATAGCAGTCTGGGAACTAACCGGACTAGGATACAGTAGTCTCGTGTCTGATTAAAATCATCCATATGCACGCAATGGGTCAGGCCAAAGGAGCAAGTCCACCATATATCAGGCTCAGGGACCAAGTAACTGGTTAGGCATGAGAACTCAATGCTCTGAGTGACACTGCATAGTTTCTGGTAATTGACTGGGATCTGTCCTATGCATAGTCCTTGTCCTGTGATATGTTGCAGAGTCAACTTGGCCTTAGAGCTCCAAAGACAGGTGTTGTAGTCATCAGAAAAGTTATATGTCCCCAAGACCACTATGCCATCATAATAAGGTGGGGCAGTATCATAACATAACCAACAAGAGGCCGTCATGTTTGGCTTTATAGCATTCAGTACCAGATATGATTGCTCTAGCAGAGTGAGGAGAGGGTTTACCTCCGGTTTCTCAAAAGGGGCCAGTACCTTAGTATTTCGAACTTTAGCTCCTCTGGAGGCGGGGGCCCCAGGGCCTATGGGAGAAATTCTGGCCACCTCTGTGGTGACAGGCACCTTTGGGGTGGTTTGTGCCTGTGGTGTAGGGGCAAGGGCTTTGTTTGGTCTAATCTCGACTGTGGGTTTGGGGAATAATCCGATTACTCCACGGATCCTGAAAACTGATCCCAAGCTCTCAGACTTCAACTGAATGCCCCAAGTATAACCCATCTCCCCATTGGGGGCCTCCCTTCCTTGGTCGGTGAAACTTATTTTAATAGGATTACAGTTAGGATAGCATTTATTCCTTTGGGTCCATGAGAGGATGTTATGGACAGCAGCAGGCATGACTGCTGGGTGGCCAATGCGTGTTAGTGTGATAAAATCATCTTTAACAGGGGGTGTCCAATCTATGAACCCTGTACTCAGGCAATCCCATGATTTGCAATAAAACTCATAAGGTGTCCCACATTTTCCTTCGCCCCCTTTTTGCCTGTGGGCCTCAGGGAAAACATAAAAACTTTGGGTGGAGTCTGTGGGACCTATACCAGCAATCAATTTTGAAAGGTCCAGGTTCAAATCTGGGTACCAGACAGATGGGAGAACTACTTTGGACATCTGGGCCAGGACCCTCATAGAGTTAACATCTAAAGGTTGTCAGGTTGAATTAAAGGGTTGGTTGGGGTTGGCACCACAAACACTTATAACAATTAGTATAGTAAGAATTAAGAATGGCTTAGTCTTAACTTGAGAGGACTTTCCGCATTTCGGTGAACTTTCCATGCCTTGGGTCCTGGTGCTGGGGCCTGAGGGTCCTCTAGGCCATTGGGGTGTGGATCAGCTCTCCGGATGTGAGTGCGATGTATTCAGGTAGTGATTCCGTCTACCTTGATGGCCGTGAGTGTAGTCAGGAACACCACATATGGGCCCTTCCAGCGGGGCTCGAGTGTTTCACAGTGGTGCCTGTGGACATAGACCCAATCACCTGGCTGATAATTGTGCAGGGTGGGAGAAGGTGCTGTCTCATAGATAGCTCTCAGTTGGGGCCACACATCCTTATGTGCATGAGCCACTGCTTCTAAGGAATTAAGCAACTGACAGTTATCAAATTCAGCAATTAGTTCAGCTCTTAAATTGGGGAGAATAGGAGGGGGTCTTCCAAACATGATTTCATAGGAGGTTAACTCTAGCAGATAGGGTGAGTTCCTCACCCTATATAGGGTGAAGGGAAGGAGAGCCACCCAGTCCCCACCAGTCTCCATGGTTAATTTGGTAAGGGTCTCTTTTAGAGTTCTATTCACCCTCTCTACCTGTCCTGAGCTCTGGGGGCTGTATGCACAATGTAATTTCCATCTTTCCCCCAACATCCTAGCTAATTCCTGGGTTACCTATGAAGCAAAGGCTGGCCCGTTGTCGGAACTCAGAAGGGCTGGGATGTCATGCCTGGGTAAAATGTCCTCTAGCAATTTCTTGGCCACCACCTGAGCAGTCTCATGCTTGGTGGGAAAGGCTTCAGTCCATCCTGAAAAAGCGTCTACCAGAACTAGTAACCATACTTGCTTAGCTTAATTTCTGTAAAATCTATCTCCCAGTGGTCCCCTGGTCTAGAGCCCCTCATCCGAGCCCCTTGTTCCTTAGGATGGTTCTCAGTGTTGATCAGCTTGCAACTAAGACATGCAGAGGTGACTGCATCAACAAGTGGGTAGAGATTCAGGACTTTTAAATGAGCATTTCTTAAAAGATCAGCCATTTTCCTGGTGCCCAGATGAGTGGGTCAGTAGATATATGTGAGGAGGTCCTT